GGGGGGGGGCACTGCACCATGGCCAAACCGAAAACATAGCCTTCTGACGAAGGCAAAAACCTTTTAGACATCATTTTACAAGCTGCTTCATCATGATGTTTCTCTTGACAGTCTTCATTTGACACTCAAGTAAATATGAGACATTTCTGCACATGAAGTGATGAGATATCTTAGTAAAGATATAATTTCCTAATCTTGATACCTCCCAGACATTCGATAACTACAATTTACTGAAAACGTCTTTTACTCTACAGTAAGAATTATCACCGAACCGGCCTGTGACGACTTTTACTTCCACAGAATTGATGGCAGTTATTTCTTTCAAGCAAACTTTCATTATAGCAATGACAAGATTAACAACTTCCCAGGTTTAAAGACCTTGTTATCAATGACCACAATTTCTGGCGAACAAACTGAAACCTTACAACTTGGCTGAAATTAATGATACGTGATCTGATCTTGCAGTACAAGGGGCAGGGTGTGAGATATAATTACACACCAGACATAATATGGATGGGAAGTGGATCTAGACTGACATATTTGCTCCCTTCCTATAAACTACAGACTGTTCCATTGCAATCATTTTGGGAGGGGGGTGAGGATACCTTTCCAAATAAGATTTTAATCAGTATGAAAAAAGATATGTATGTATACATGTGGGATTTTTGTCATTGTAGTGCACACCTTCATACTAAGATTCTCATGGAAAAGCTTTCATAACAATTTTTTGTCAGTTGTTCTTTTGCATTTTTTAAAAATTACTCTGAAACTTTCTTCACAACCAAACTTGCACTCAAAAGAAAGCAGCATGTGTCGAATAGAAAGGTTGCAGGAAAGTAATTCCTTCCATAGTAACCAATCATACTGATCATCCTTATGGAGCTTGCACCCCTGTTTGACAAATGGACTGGCCCAACACTAACTTGTGTTGAACTTGAACCCTCAGTCTAAAGACTACAGCGTTGACAAATGTGGTTTTTGTTGTCAAGAACATGAGTCTAACGGTGTTGCTTTTCATACATTCACCCAGATAATTGGACAATTTATCTTCCAGATTGAAGTGAAATAAAGCTTTTTGGTGTAGTCTTTCCCTGACTTAGTTCAGTGTCTTTAGTGGCCAATAACATATAAATCATGCTGGTTTATACAGTAACGGTAGTTTATTGTGAATCATACACAAGAAGAGGTTTCCATCGCAGTAGACACATATAGCATTCGCGTCCATAGAATGTCTTGAATAAAGCTTGATTTTGTATATTACTTGCTTCAAAAGTCTTTGGAAAAGCATTTTATTGTTTTTGCTACATTTCCTCTTCTTCTCCAAACCAAAAAGGTCAATGACCTGAACCAGACTGTCTGTCACCATGGTAACTAGTGTTGGGTTGTCATGTTGCAATTTTATAGCAGGAGGGATTTGAGATGTGTTTGAGTAAGAAGTAACAGAGCAGACCATATGCTAAGGTTAACATCATGCATTGCTTTGCCAATGTCACCTTTCTAGTTATGTCTAGTACATAGCTCACAAGACAGACTCCTAGAGGCTAGGATTCCAACCCAGCAAACTTGTGGTCCAGTCAACTAGGATTGCTAGTCCTGAGGATGTCACCTTTGTTTTGACCTTGACCCCTGACCTTGTGTTCTACAGAGACAATGGAGTGAAGGCCATTGAGAACCTGATGCTGAAGAAGGGAAGGTTTGACTACATCCTACTGGAAACAACCGGCCTGGCCGATCCAGGTAATTATCAATTGGACAACAACCAAGGAGTTGTTGTCAAAGTTGCTACAACTGCAGTGATTGGCACACTTACACAAGTCTTAATTTGCATAAATGGGACACTTACATGCTC